GAATACAGTTCACATGGGGTTCCACAGGGATCAATACTTGGACCACTTTTGTTGGCCAGATCTTAAAAAAAAATACTACACAAGTTATCATTGCTATGCCAGTGACACACAAAAATATGTTCCTGTAACAGCCACAGCTGCCAGAATCTAGTCTGATGTAACACCAATGTCCTCCTGATGTCTTTGCATTGACTATCAATACAAGTGAAGGCTTGTTTCAAAATCCTCCTTCTGACTTACAAGGTTTTGAATTGAGTGGCCCCTGCTTAAATCTCCAGTCTCGTTACTCCATATACTCCATCATGTCCTACAGCCTTCATTGGATTCAACCCCCCTAGTTCAAAACATGTCAATATGTGATGCTGCTGTTGTGTTTTTAGCTTTGTTCTGCAGACCAGAACCAAACTGCTGCTCTAGCTAGTCCTTCACACCCTCTGGAGGAGACATCGTAATAGAATTTCAGTTTACAGAAAACATTTGGTGAAGGAATTAAACTTCCATGAGACCTATTTAATTTATTTGTAACAATAATAAAACAGTACTGAAATTTTAGTCATTATGACAACCCTTTATTGAAATTAGGATAATTATGCATTCAACACAGATGTGTATATAATGATATCACCAGGTGACTATAAAGTACAAGCACTGAATAAGTGCATCAAACAAATTAATGGTTAGATGTGCCAAAACTGAACTGAAATTATTGTCCTTGGACCCAAAGAAGAACAATTAAAGGTCAGCGCTCCCCTTCAGTTGCCAGCATTAAAAACCACAAACCAAGCCAGAAATCTTGGTGTAGTCATGGATTTTTAAATTAAGAAATCTGCCTACTATCACCGAGTATGTATGAAGAATTAAAGGCTGGATTTAGAAAAATGTATCTTTATTTATGTACTTATCTTTAGTACTCTTGACTACTGTAATGCTTACAAGTCTCTATAAATCAGACAACTGCAGCTGATTCCGAACGCTGCTGCTAATCCTCACCAGTGACATGGCGGGACTTTTCCACTAGATGCAGCAACGGGCTTATAGGTAGCTCTGTGTATTTTGGTCATGAGCTATACACTGTACAGTGTAGCAGTCTAAAACATACATCAATACAACAACAATACATCATTCAATAGAACAAAACAAATTTAAATGCAGTGTCACACATATGAAAGATCTTCAACAAATTAGTCTTGCATATGAAATGATACAACATTTTATAGGACACAAACTAGTCAGTTAAAACAAATCGCAGTGCATTGTTATCACATAAAACAATTGTAGCATTAAATTCTCAATATCCAATAATTTGATAGTTTTTAGGACAGGGCATTTATCGGCATGTTTCTTTACATTACTCACTTCAGCTCACTTACTGCTGAACTTGGCCCCTAATGGTTTGAGGATGCAAATCTGGCTATGACCTTGACGATAAAACTCTGAATGTCTTTTTACTAGTCTCTTTTCAATTGATAGCGTATTCAGACATTTGTTGGACATAGTTTCAGAATAATGTTTTTATCCTTTTCAAAATAGAGAAACAACTCTCAGCCTCCGATGTTCTCATGGGGTTTGATCTGAATATGGAGGAGTTTGACTTTCTCTGAGAGGGTTAGCTGGAGGTTGTTCTCCACTATGACGTTGAGTAGGGCAACAGCATCACTGCAGACACTGAGCTCCTCTCTATCATAGAGAAGAGAGGGCTCAGTTTCACCTTGTTTATCATTAGGTGTGCATCAGCTGTGCAGTGAGAGCTGCGTGTGAAAAGTACTTTTTGAGTCTGATGGAAATCTCTGCACAACAACGTGGTACTTTGACTTTGTCCCGTGAACCCAAATAGCTCCTTCACATAGGCCATAGTAATTGGGCACACCTCAGTGGCTTTTTGCTGCTAAGTTTCCAGGTCAGGCCGTCTCTGCATTGTGCTGTCAATGTCTTTTTTTTTTCTGCAACTGGATGGGCAGCACATCAGCATTTGACATAACAGAGTAAAAGTATGTTTCTGTAAGAAACACAAGAAAAAAAGTAATATATATTTTTCATTAAAATACGTCACAGCTGTAATTGCAGGAGGGGACGAGCCCCAGCACTTTTAATGGGCCACACATTCGAGACCAGTCCAATCCAAGACACATCCATAAGACCAGTGAGAATTGATTTTTTAAAAATCCTACTGTTGGTTTACACAAGGGATCTGCAGCCCCTTGCTGTGTGTCATCCCCTCTCTCTCCACCCACCTTTCCTGTCTCTCTACAGCTGTCTCTGTCAATAAAGCCAACAAAAGGTAAAAAAAATAACTTATATATATATATATATATATATTATAATAACTAAATAAGCAAGGGGTTAGTAACCTTTACTATCAAAAGAGCCATTTGAAAAAAAATTTAAATAACAATCTGCCTGGAGCCGCAAGACATATTTGAGCCTTATAATGCTAATTTCTCACTGCAGATCAAGCATACCGGTAAGCCAGCGCGCACGTTGGTGGTAAAGGCGAACATATGTCCACGCGATATTAAATTCTCAATAAGTTATTTATTTGTGAGATTTTTCTTATTTGGATTTGGAATCCATAGATTTTTCCTAGATGAAAATGTGAAAATAAGTTTTAAAATAGTGCCAAAATACATGTCTGATCTGCTGCTTCATTATGAACTGTTTAGACCTCTGAGATCATTTGTACCAGGTATGCTTACTGTCACAAAATCCAAACTAAACTTGCACAAGCAACATTCAGTTTTTCAGTGATCGGAACACTGACTCAAGTGCTGTACTTAACTGAAATGTTTGTACTGTTGTACTTCACTATTTCCATTTATGCAACTTCATACTTCTCCACTACATTTAAGAGGGAACTGTTGTACTTTTTACTCTGCTACATTTATTCAACAGTTATAGTTACTAGTTACCATACAAACTAAAGGCTCTGCACACCCAAAAAAGTGTTTTCAATCGCTCTGGCTTATTAGACCTCTAGTCAGGTGTTAGTTGGGTTGAAATACTGTATGCATGTTGAATTATGTGAATTTATCAAACTATATCCACTAATAATGATAACTGGGTAAGGTGTCTCACCCTAAAGGTACACCAAATTGAGCAGAAGAGTGAGTGAGAGAGACGTTGGAGAAGTCCAGTACTATTCAGGCAACATAAGTGAAAACACCTGTGGGTGGACTATGTGTGCAGGGCCTTTAATCAGTAGTGATACATCGTATTCAATAGGTATTATATAATTTGTATGTAAAATCTTAAACTACTAAACAGCACAATAAGTACTAAGTGTTCTTATCTCAACAGCTACAACCTTAAAATGCTTTTTATGTATTTTGTAAAGCTCTTTGAATAGCCTTGTTGTTGAAAGGTGCTATACAAATACATTCTCCTTTCCTTTATTCTTCCTAAAGGATGTACGCACTGTTATGCAGCAATCATCCATTATTTTATCAATTCTATTTCAGTTATATAAAGCCTTCAAGCCACTGTCAAAAAGAAATCTTTAGCACAAAAGAGTTTGAATGTGAGACAGTGTTTACAAGCACAGAGTAGCCTATTAGACACTTTTCCCACTTCTATTCTGGGCTGCTAGTGGGGAAAGAAAGTGTTGACCATTATACTGATAGTGAATTGCCGTAAAGTGCATTCTAAAGTAATTTGGAGTCCTGCTTGCCTCCAAATGTATTGCCACTATCCGGAAAGTACTCATAACCCAGTGCACAGCTTTCAAAAACAAAGCTGTTTCCATGCCACATTAACACCTTTTATTATTGCTTTAAGCCAGGCATCTTTAGCTGCAATTTCAGCTTTTTTCTAATGCTCATTACTGCCTATGAAAAGCCTAAACGCACCTGTGTATTTGCCACAGTCAAATGCTCATACTGCAGGCTCCCTGTTTTCAAAAATCCATTAAAAAGAGCTCACAGAGACAAACTGCTGCCAAGATGAATGTAATCCATCAATTTAAGCAGCGAGTGTATTTTTCCTAACATGACTTCATAACACCACAACAGTTGTAGTTGAGATTGTATCAAAACTAGCTTCACTCTGTCATTAATGAATGTGAAGAGGCATTTTCTGTTGGTGTGTTTTTATCCACTTTGGGTCCATTTTCTCTGGATCTGTGTGAGGTGTTGAAAAACAGCCTACTATTTTTTACTTGCGGATGTGTCTACACAGCTTAAAATACAGTTATTACACTTACACACAGCAAAACCAAAGTGTGTGTGTATAGTGTGTCTCCTAATACAAGGTGGTAGAGCAAAAATGTTTTTGTCATTTACAAAGCAAAAATACCAAATGAACATTGATCAGAAGTGTTTGCTGATTTATTTTCAGCCAACTCATTGATTAATCAAGTAATCATTTCAGCAGAGAAAGCAATGCGCTGTATTTACCTGTTTGTTGTAGCCAGAAATCCGTTTCTTCATTGAAGCCACTTACTGAAGTGAGAAAAAAAAGTGAAGGAAATTTTAAATATCTACAACAAAAACAGAGCTGAGTCATGTCTGAAGAACACTGCTCTGCTGTCTGCTTAATTACCAAATTGTGGACTTTGTTATGCAAAACACCAAAGAAACTGGCCCTAGTGCACAAGAAAATAAAAATTTGAGAATACCTGATTACTATACATTTAATAATTAGGCACCTGGTAAATAATTACAAATGCTGCTGTTCTTAATGCATTTTGGAAAGCAATTCTATGAACTCAGAGGAGACAAGCCTGCAGTGAAAAGACAGTGGGAGCTTCTGAGTGTATCCAGTTGCAGGTCAGGACTTTAATTAGGCAGTAATGGTTAAAGGTGCAGGTGTTATCCTTAAAGCAATTCTGTGTCAAAGTACTTAATTTTGATCTTTACATAATGTACAGCTGATTAGCCCGGGTTAAGACAGAATTCTTTGTTCATGTTAATGGTACAAGTGTTGCATCCAGACTACATCCTCAATGATCAAAAGGACTTGGCGAAGGGAGCAGGAAGCTCATCACATTGTTCATGTATTCCACGCAGGCTCCATCACCCCCTTCGCCCTCAGCTAATGAACCAAAGTATGAGAAGCGCTGGCTGGATGCCGTCTCCCTGCCCTTGTTGATGGCCAGAGTCTCCAGATACAAAGCTGGCACCGATAAATTAAGGTAAGGGTAATCCAGCATGATATAATTCACCTCTAAGGTGCACAGTTCACTGAGCACAGTTGTTGGCTTAGCAAGCACTTTTCATTTAGGTGGGAGGATGTTAATGCCAATATCTATGCACAGGCATAAACGGCTTAAAAGGTCACCGCAGCTGTGAGGCTCTGGCTCAGAAGGTGTGACTGTGAGAACACTGGTCGAACTTGTAAATGCATTTGATTGTTATGCCTGTCCCTTTTGTATTGATTTTCATGTGTACAGTAGTTTCACAGTTGTTTTTATTTGGAAGCTTTTTAAATCAATTTTTTTTTTATTTCCAAACTGTGTGGGGAGAGGTTTATTTTTTCTGTACAGAAATTACAGAAAGTTCTACTACCATTTGGCAGTCATAAATTACAGGTCCCATAGAGCATGCTAGTATACACGGCTGAATCACATTCACTTATTCCATTTCTTTTCTCTGTATCAACCATAACATATTTTTGTATTTTGGTTTGTTTTCTGTCATGTGCTTTTTTTTTTGAGTAATGGCTGATAACCACTCACTCCCACTCCTATTTATGCGTAAAACGCTAATGACAGACATTAATTGCATAACTATTATTATCCAAGTCTAACAAGAAAAGATTGTTAACACCTTCAACTAAATACTTTCATCACATTTAATATTCTGGCAACCTTCTGGGTCTAAATCCAATCTTATTGTGACAGTTTAACTTTGAGTATGACCATATGCTTTTCTTGGGCATATGAGCAAAATAAGGAGCTTAATGAAATATGTATTTTTATCTTTTCTAATTAGTTTTTATTGAAACTGGAATTTATTCACCGTGGTCAGTGGTCCTTATCATTTCTTGCACTCTTGCTGAGCAGTCTCTTACTCTTTAGGGTGTGTCTAGTTGCATAATTCAAGAACAGCAGGTACATAAGTAAAAAAATAAAAGAAAACAGTGGGACGCACTGCAGTTAATTAAATATATTTATTAAACTATTAAGCATATACTGTGGATCCAATTACAATCTTTCATATTTTAAAATGATCATTAAAAAACACTGCAGTAAAAAAGCTGCTATTCATAGCATAGTTCACATCACTGAGGACTGCTCAGATACCTCGGTAAGGAATTACTCTTTCCTTCTAGGCTGTATTTGGATAAAGCAACAATCCTGTAATACAAATTCTGTTAGATTTTAAGTCAAATCACCAGTTTAATGACTGCGTAGTGCAGAGTGAAATATAGAAGAAATGTATTGATGAGATTTGGAGCTTAGTCACACTAAGCCCAATAACCCAGTGCTGAATCAGGAATAGAAGAGTTCAGTCAATAAGGAACCTTGGAGGCAAAGAGCACGTCAATATCAGAGTTTACTCTGTTAAACATGCCTGACATGGGTATATGAGAATGCATGGACACAGATCAGTGTGGATAATAACAGGGGTAAACAGCAGAGAATCTTTGACAAGATGATCTCAAGGGAGCATGATCAGACTGACTGTTTGGTTGGTTAGATAACTTACGATAATCCTTTGTTCTTTAAGGTCCAGTGTGTAACGTTTAGGAGGCTCTAGGAAATGAAACATAATATTCATAGGTATGTATAATCACCTGAATATAAGACTTGTTATGTTTTAATTACCTGAGAGTGAGCCGCGGGTTGCATTCCGTCGTGTTACCGCCATCTTGAACCGCCATGTTTCTACAGTAGCCCAAAACAGACAAACCAAACAATGGTTGTAGATAGGGCTGTTCGCATTTTTTGCATGTTTCACGCCCACCGTACTCAACCCTACACACTGGATATTTACTCTAGTACTGCTATGATCTGCGGCCAACAGAAATTTGTCATTTTGTCATACAAAATAATGTGTCATGAAAAAGTTTAAAAGAAGTGAGTTACAAACAACAACTGAAGGTTGTTGCAGCTTTAATGCCTTAAACACTGAAATATTTACATTTGCCAGAACGCACATGATTTACAAGTGTAATTGCAAACACACAAGTATAACCTTTTTTAAATTGTCTTCAATAAGTGAATGTAACTTTTATATAGCATAATATTTGAACCCACTTTTACCAAGTTCAATCCGAACAAGAGGTATAGCTAAGGTTAAAATGTCCTGTGACTAGACATTGTAAGTACTGTATTTAAATGGAACCAGAGAGCAGAGGTTCCGCAGAAGAGCCTTATAAATATATAAAACACAGTGTTGCTCCCTTCTGTTTTTGTATAAGATGGTATGGTGAGTGAGAAATGTTTGGCCTCTGAGTGCAGCACACTGCTATACAGAGTCAAGAGGCTTTAAGGTGGAGGACAAGCATGCTTATACACAATGTCACCATATCAAGTGCAGGGAGGATTGTAGATTCTTCTGTATGATTTGCTTCCATTTAAGCTCCCTCTCAGTTAGCTGTACCATGTTTCAGTATATTCTGATCACAGGCCAGTATCACCATCACTCATTTATAGCACAGTGTGGAAATAAACCTCTGCTATACAAGCATTAGATCTGTTGACCCAAGCTTGAAATCCAGTACTGTGTCAAAGCCTTTTAATCCCAGATATGATTTGTAAAGTATTTCTCAGTTAGCAAACTGGTAACAGAAATGTAACTCTTAGTTTATGTATTTTTTAAAGAGTAGAAAGCAGACGTCTCTCAAACTGGTTTATAAAAACAGTAAAAGTGCGAAACTCATTCTCACACTCAAACCTATTGAGCACCCATTTTTCATATAAATCATTTTGTTACAGTTTAAGCTAAAAGTGTGGGGCTTTTGGTTATTATCTTGCAGTAGCTTATTTAAAATGGGGAAGTTTTGCAGAGAATTAATGAATTCCAGTGGAATCGCTGCAATTAGAGGATTCACTCAAGGAGGCAGAGTTAGCACATTACTCATAGAACTCAACTTGCACTAATGAGCTACCACGTTTGCTAACCATTAGCAAGCTTGTTAGCTCATATAGCTTTATTTTCTTTTGCCAATAACTATTGAAAGAAATGGTGTGCAACAAAATGCTGGGGGGATTAAACAGACAAGTGCTAATAGTTCAGTGTTAATGGTTAGCTCGAACGCTAGTAGTTCACCAGCTAGCCCTGCTAGTCACTGCGTCACCAAGCTTCTGGCCCCACATGTTTTGCATGGACAAGCAGATGTTCACCAGCAGTGGCTACCGCAGTGACTACCAAAATCAGACACGCCTCATAGTTTCTGATAAATACATGCATTAAACAGCAAATAGTTAAAGTTGGAGAAGAGCCTTCACATTCCCAAGCTGCAGGAATAGGTTTCTTAAAGTCCCGTAAAGCTGAGTTTCAGGGTAAAGCATGAGGAGCTACCATTAGGGAAGGTGTTGTTGACTCATGTTCTCATCTAGTGTTGATGCGGGCTGCAGAATTGTGTCCGGAAGGTTTTACAAAGTTCTAGTGATCCTTGCCAGCACATATGCTCCCAGCTGGGATGACAGATAGTTTTTCTCAAAGTTTTTCTCTCGATTACCCAATTTAAATCCACTCCATAAGGGGAATTGGGGAATTGTTCTTGTGTTCATGTTTAAAAAAAAAAAAAATTTGAAAACAAGGCCACATGTACAGCTGACTTTGAAAAAAGCAGATAGCGGGTCTTGTTTCCTTCCTTTACACAGATTTCCTGGCAAGTCTGAGGTGTCAGACCAGCTCCTCAGTCTGTCAGTGAGGTGTTCTCCGCCTTTTGTTTAAGCTGTCAAAACGGATAAAATTTGAAAGGGAAGTAAAACTTGCAAATTAAGTTAATAGGGCTTTGCCTGCTTCAAGTGTTGTTGGTTGGTTTCTCAGATAAAAGCATACACTCATTAGTTAGCTAGAGATTACTCAATTAAAATAATATGATATTAGACTTTGATGACCCAGTCCCATGTTTTTATTTCAGCTATGTGATACTGTTTTGATTAGTGTCATGGATTCAAAGTTAAACTCACATCTATGCATTTCTTGGTAGGAAATCAAAAGCAAACACGTTCCTGTGATTAATTATGCTGAAAACGAAAAGCCCCAAAGCCTGCCTATTTCCCCGCCTCACTAATCAGTAGACATGGCACATTTTCCCTCTCATTGCCATTCGCACTATAACTAACAGCTGGATTCCTCTCAAAAACACCTTTTCCCCATATATTCTTCATGTATCATCCTGCAGGTTGACTGGGTGATATGTTTCCGGTCTGTCTCAATGGATTTATTACCGCCTAGTCAGCAGCCAAGACACAATAGTTTGTTTCGGTGCGAGCGGCACAGATGTATGAAAGAATCACGCTCTCCCTAGATGCTCTCTCTCTGTGAGGATTTCAGTCCTGCTCACTGAAGGTGGAAGGGCTTTAGCAGCTCCTTCTGACAGGGTTGCGTTGTCCTGACATTGATTCACCATCTGTTTGTTGCTTTGATTAATCTCTGCCTTTGGAGCTCTTCATTCATTGCACTTTCATCCCTTCTTGCTTTCCCCCCATTACTGCGTGCTCTTGGTGGCTTTGCATTAATTGAAAGGGATCTAACTGACGCTGTAGATTCTGCGTCTAATGTCATTTCATCAGTTGTACATGTTATCTTTGCAGTAGTAACTAAAAGAAAAGGAGAGATGTTTCTGTGTGCAAGACAAAGCATTTAAAAACGAATTCTGAACATCTATTAGTGATGCTTTATAGTCGTGCAAATCACAGCATAAAGCTAATTTGGGTCAGGCACACTGACACAGAAATAATTTGCACCCTTGTTAAATCAAAAAAACGACATTTAAGTCCAGTAGAAATCACCCCTGGAGAGCCACTGGGTCAGTACACAGGCAGCAGAACATAAGATTTTAACAAGCCTATTGCAGATAAAGTATGAAAGTCATGCTCACCAGAGGATTTGTTAGGAATGCTGACTTTGTAACATCTAACCTCCAAGAACTTCTGTGTGCGCGAGTGAGGAAAAAACTGTTTGCTTTAGCAGCTGTCTTAGAGGATTTACGTCTTCATACTCCTCATTCGACGCTTTTCTATTGTCTTTATGTTCATCAGCCTTTAACTCATGTCCACAACATCTCCCCACGTCTCATGTGCACTGCCTAATGTTCAACATTTCTTCCAGCTTTAAGAAATATTTCCAAATGCTGCTCCAGTCTGACAAATGGGATTGCTAAACCATCACCTAAAACGGCTTCCCTGTTTAGTGACAACTATCTCTGAGGCTAAAAGTGTCAGCAGTGTGAAAATGCACTGAAATTAAATGTCAAAAAGTATCACATTTTGCTGATGAGTGCGACCTCTCTTAGATGACCTCATCAACGCCCCATCGACTGAGAAATTTAATTGTTAGTAAAGCACTGCATTTAACCCCAAGGCCCTCCAATGACATGACAGAATCCAAAAAAATGTTATGTCAAATTATGTCAAAAAGGAAATAAAATCCTCATGTATTCTTGTAAATGTTATGTGAAGGGTAGCTTTTTCAAGCTGAAGTGCAAGGTGTATTATTTTGACATCTCTTAGCTTGTTTGGGGATATCATGCAGTGGGGTTCCTTCATTTCTGTTAAGTTGTTTTTTTAATAGATTTGTCAGGATTTAGTCAGTTTAAATTGTATAGGATATTTCATCTTGGCTTTGCATTTTTTTTAGTGTCACTTCCTAAAATGCAGTGTAACGAGTTTTGCTGCTAAAGGGATAGTTGGACATTTTGGGATTCGCTTTCTGGAGGACAGTTATATGAGACTCTCGTGCATGCTAAATATGAAGCTACAGCGAGCAGTGGGTTAGCTTAGCTTAGCACAAAGATTGCAAACATGGGGAAACGTCTAGCCTGGCTCTTTCCAAAGGTAACATCAAATATGCATACTAGCGCCTTTATGTGACCGTTTATTGGCTCGGTGCAGTTGCCACGCAGCCAGCAGAGGCTCCATGAAGTTACTGCTCCAAGCCAAAAAAAAACAGCAAATCAACCTTTTTACACTTTGTTTTTTGTACAGATTAAATAATAAAGTTATAACATGTTAATTAGTGAGGTTTAGCTGTGCTGGTAAGTGGATTTTGTCACATTTAGACAGATCCAGTCTAGCCGTTTTCTCCTGTTTCCAGTCATTAAGCTAAGCTAACCTACTGCTGTCTGTAGCTTTATATTTACAGCTGTGAGAATGGCATCAGTCGTCTCCTCTGAAGTCTGTTTCCCAAAATGTACAAACTTTAATCTTTTGACTTTAGCTACAGCTTACAGCGTATTCATGTGCACTGCCGCACAGAGAGCTTCTGCCCATGTTTTCTTTTAATTGGAGCCATTAGCCTCAGCTCTGCTTTTCATCTTGTAGGGAAATTTAATTTAATAAAAAAAGAAATAAAAAGACGTTGTAACCTTACCACAGAAAGTATATGATTAGAGAAATATTGTCACACAAAAATTACTGACATTCTGAGGATATGTAAGGAGTCATGAAATCCCTCTCCAGAGCATCTGTTGTGAAGATATTTTTATAATTAGGTGTCAGAAGCCCATCCAGCTTATGGAAGAGGCTCTACTATACTTAAAGCAGTCTTACCGCTTAAAGTAACTTGACAGAAGTAACGAACTGCTCCAGCTTCACTTTGTGCAATATTGCTTTCAATCTTCTGCACCGCTCCTGTCTAATTTTGACCTCTATGCTCCTCCAGGTCCAACTGTTTTGAAGTCTTTGCCTTGGATGGAGCCAGCACCAATATTCTTCAATTTTGCACTGCAGCAGAAAGCACAGACTGGCTCCAAGCAATATCTACAAACATCAATGACTTGACACAGGAGAATGTAAGTCCATCTCTAAACATTAGAGGCTTGGTTGGATCTTCCCTTGAGTCTTTATTGAAAATGAAGGTGGGAAGCGAAACTGTGATTTTCACAAATTTGTGATCATTTTAAATATGTGAGAACTTGAATGAACTCTTGTGACATCCAGTAACATTTTACTGTCATAACATTGTGGATTGCAGTTGATTCAGATTTTCTAGTTTTATTTCTACTTGGTATTTTTTTAATCATCTGTTTAAATTCATCTAAATCTAAATTGGCAAAATTTCACTGGATTCCAGCCAGTGAATTTTATCCTATTATCCACTTGTGATCTTTTAAAGTTGATAACCCCATCTTAATAAAGAAAACATAGAAACGTAATAAATATGTTTTGCCCACAGTTGTTCCGTGTATTTTCCCCTTGTGATTTTTTTTTTTACAGCCGCATAGACGATCGTGTGGCGTGGTTCTAATAGACCCTTCCTGACAAGCACTCATTGAGTCAGTGGCGTCTCTCCCCCTCTGCTGACAAAAACGAGGCTCTCTCATTCCTAATTAATGACTGCTAAGTAGTCATTCGGCATGTGCACTTCTCTCTCTCATTTCCTCCTATTTCACTTTGATTATCACACTGATGATGTGATGCATTTTTGCTAAGGATGCAGACGTACTGTATGCCCGTGCTCGTCGATTGCACAGCTGCCTTTTTTAAAAAGTGTGATTAATTCATGCCTGCATCACCTAATTACGGACGTGCCGTGTGATTGCTAAATGGCCAATCAGGATGTAATTGTGTGCCTGCTTTGGGAGAGAGCGGAACTTTTGTCTTAATGACCTACAACCTTTAAATAGACTCTGTGACACCCTCGGGGTCCCTCATGTGTTTTTAATGTGGATGACTGTCATCTGGCATGGTGGAGGATTACTTTATGCTGTTTGATGTTGTTTGATGTTCTTTTAGAGAGACTAAAACAGAAAGAGTTGGGCAGCTTGTTAGTGCCTAATAATATAAGGATTTCAGGTAGCAATTTACCTTCAGTTTGTAGCTGAGGTGAGATGGGAGCAGCCATCATGCTGAGTGTGATGTACTGACACAGCAGGGGTCCATTCAGTGTGAAAATGTTTTGCACCAATTTGCAACTTTTTTTTGGATGGACACTAATATTTCGTTGCAAAGAAAGGCACACAACATTTTGAACAGCCTTTGTAATACGTTTGCTAGCTCCTCTTTGGTGGGTACATCACATTATGTTTTTTTTAAATCCCCTCTATTAGAAAAGGACTCTAACTTTATATTTTGGAGCCTCAAGGTGGCCTTCAATGGTCCTGCATCTTAAATCACTTTGCAGTAGCTTCAGCACAGGTGGTCGCTGCTTCATGGAATGGACTGTTTTAGGACACCCCGATGGCTGAATTTGCCAGACCACTTCATATTTGTGACATCTGGGGATTGAATCAAACATGGTATTCATTAATCAAACCACCTTTCAAACTGTTGTCGGATTTCTATTGACTGTGAACCTTAAAATGAAGAAAAAACAACTTAAAGGCATACTGTGTTTAGCCATTATGTGTGCATGACTGATTGTGACATCTACACAGCCACCACTGTGTGAAAAGAGACAATCAGTGAAACATGCTTTCCGAGGTAATTCTATGCTGCCGCTTGAAGCCCTTTTGTTTGTCTTTTAAATCACTAAGCTCACCAGCCACATGTTATTCAATCAAATACATTTTATTACTTAAGATTGAATGAATGATTGCATTATATTGGATTAATGTTTGCCATTGTCTTTAAAGTGTTGTTTCGAGCTTCCTCTAGTAATAAATGTTAAAAAAAAAAAAAAATCTAGGTGAAGATAATTTTACCTGCCTTGCTGGTGCTGAGCTGAACTAAACACATTAGATATACAAAATGTACAAATATGTTATAATATTTGACAGAAAATTGAAAACTGTAATATCTGTATCTTATCTTTTTTGGATTTACCTGCACATTTGGTTAAGGAGCAGAAAAGGTGTATAAATAGGGTGTGATGATGTGTGTCATGTGTGAACAGTTTCATTCCCAGCACTTTGAAGAGAACAGGATACCTTTGTGTAATGATATGTTTAACAACTTTTTTTTTCTGTCCTAGATAAAGATCATCAACAAGTACTGCTCTTCAGATGATCAGGTAATCTGACACTGGCCTAGCTTCACCAACCAGTCCTGTATCTCTTTTTGAAACCAGATACATAATTACCACAAAGCACGACAGTCATATGATATCACTGCTGCGGTTCTAAGTGTACCTTTTTATTAGATTGTGCCAGTTAAGATACAGAGAGGAAACACTGGGAGAGGTCATGTACCAAACGGTATGCTGTTTAACCACTAAGACAACTCCTGTGAATGTGCATCTGGACTGTAAGAGCAGCAGTCGAATATCTTTTTGGTAAAGCTGCGAATGCCTTGTCAGGACAGACAACGTCTTGGTCTCTTACAGTGTTTTCCTGCATCTACATCTAGATATTGGTTGTATATAGGTGGAGGACTAGTTCAGTGTATTATACTCCATGACACTACAGACCTAAGATTTAGAGACTGTGGGTCTGCCCTGGCTTGTTCGAGATGTTGATAAGATGTTTGGTCTGTGACAGTTTGCTGGGTGTGTTTACTTCTTTCCTTAAAAGTAGTACGAGCTAATAAACATCATCAGGCTTGGATGTGTCATCCGTTTGGGTAAAACCTCAAACTTCATATATGTGAGGTGAGATGGTGAGGAAGGATTCAAGACCAGCTTGTAGAAACTGATGTTCATTGTTTAGCTCAAGATTTAGAAGTGTAGCAGATGAAGCAGTGTAGCAGAGATATGTTGCTTAGAGGAGAGCAGAGAAACATCCCAAGTCAATCTGGGGTAGATCAAAGGTAAATTGTTGCATTGCAGCTAAGACTGCAGCACCACTGTACAATGAAGGATCTTTTAAATGTATCACTTCAGTGTTGTTCTTTAACTCAGTCCCTTTGACTGTGCACATTTTGATATTTAGGTCTGTTGATTGAGGAAGTACAGATTTCTATTGTGTACATTTTTCACTTAAGAAAAAAAAAAATCAGATTGTAAAATTGTGTCATCCTCTCTGCAGATTGTTCACATGGGCTGGGCGTGTGAAAGCCCCGAGGGTAGCACTGCTAGTAGAACTTCAGCATTCAAGTTCCTGGCGCTGAGAGGACCATATTTTCATATCTTCAGAAATCCCCCGGTAATTAGTCTCTTATCATTTTACGGTTCAATAAACTTTTCATTTCTCATTCAGATCTCTATAAAAACCTGTAAAGAAATGGTAAGTCTTAATTTTATGCTCTCTTGAAAGGGTTCAAAATCTAAAGAATATCACACTGGACTACATAACCTTAACTCAGAATGGTGCAAATGATCAATTAGTACCAGCTCAGCATAAGGATTTGTTCAGGGGCTTTTTGAATTTGTGATGGTTTTATGCTGCTGCTCACTGATCTGTGATTGTCCCCCCACTGTGCTGCGTGGTTTGTGTTTTTGAAGCAAGTTGGCAGTCGCTGTAAAATACTGTATGCTTCAGTTACAATTGAATAAGACAGGCACGCAGTAACTGGTGTTGAATTTAAATTTGTTGTGATCATGGCTGATATGTGGCAGGGAAACAAGGGTTATACACTATTGATTTTCTTTTTACATTAAGATGTTTATTAGATCTTTCAACATGTATCACCAGGGATGCATTGTATTACAAGTAAAGCAAGATTTGAGTTTTGCCATGTCTGAAGTATGGTATTATTTCTATTACATTGGTAATTATGCACCATTTTCACCTTGAGATGGCAGCTTTTCTATTCCAACCAAACTTGATACCAGCTGCTTTCACTCTGATCTGGTGGAAGGTGTATTCATACCAGCTATATAATACCATACCAGTACCAGCCCAATGTCACCAGTGTCACTCGACCATACAGCTCTAAAAATATTCCCTAAACCTGCAAAAAAAAAAAAAAGAAAAATCTTAATTTAAGTGGATCTCACTGATAGATTCAGCCTGTCATAGTTGTTGCTTGCATTCTAATCCTGCTTGATATTCAAAACAGTATTCCTTAAATCTTTAAAACAAATGTATAATACATTTAATGAGTTTTTGTCTGGAGCTTGAGGAGTTTTTGCATGGTGGACACAGGTGGTGGTGGTGGTGGTGGTGGCACTGGTGGCACTGGTGGCTCCTCCACTGACGCTGGCTACCTCTCGGCTAGTAACGTTAGCTGTAACGTTAGCCTCCTGGCTATTCATCCTTTCTGCGCTGACTGAAAAAGTTGCCCAGTGCATTTTTATTTGGGTCTAAAGCCCTTGCCAGCTCCCTCTTTTTCATATTCTTTCTTTTCTAGCATCACTATTTATTTACAGGTCCTGAAATAGCAAAGAAAACTCACTCCAATATTAGCTAGTAGTCATTTCTTAGGTCATGTTACCAGCCGGCTGTGGTTCGCTTTTGACGTTGCACGACTCATAACATTTTCAGGGGAGCGGGTTTTCATTATGAAACAGGCTATATTTTACTCAAGAAACAATAAATAATATGTTTATTTTTGTTGTTTTAATAAGTAATGGTGAGTATTTTGGTTCAATTTGCTTATCATTCCTTATATTTAAGGTGAAAATCATTATTGCTGGGTCGACCTAGCAGCTGGGCCCTTATCCCCTTATCGTTGTACCCCTTATACTTACATATTTAGACTAGCCTATGTTAGACAATATATGTTCAACATTCATTGTCTTCACGTTTGACCAGTTTTGCCAGAAAAGCATTCAATGAGGACCTCACAATTTTTACTTTTGCCAGGAGTGCAAAATCCTCTAAACAGGCAGGTTTTGGACAATAATGTACTCATACCTCCACTAACACATACTATAATAAAATAATGTAAGGCTTAGGTTGTCAAGAGACCTCTGAGAGACAGTATGTTGCCTAAATTAAAGCTATTCTACAAGAAACACTGTTGAAATTTAATTAACAGAGAAAATGTGTGCAATGCAACTAAAACTGTACTGTTTAGTTTATCAAATGTTTTCTTTTGACATGATATGAATCAGTGGCTAGTGCTGGCCATTAGATGTTATTTAATACAGTCCCAGCATCAGCTTATAATGCTTCCGCTTGACTGCAAGGGAGAGTGAATAAAGGATGTAGCATTGTGTGCTGTGTTTGTTTGTGATATGACATAAGCTCTGTTCTCCCATTAGTATAAAAATCACCGCAGTGCAGAATGTGCCTCTTTCATCTTCTTACTTCATTTGGCGAAATATTTCGGCAGGTTAATCACGTTTACTCTCTGGACACTGTGATTTGCAGTGCCAAGGTGGGGGTGTGCACATTATGAGCTGTTCAGTCTCTGTTGGCCTATCCTGCCTTTTGTTGGAGAGCTTTTGTCACCCTTTCACACAGTTTGACAAGCTCACCTTGCGTGTTTTGAAGGTTCCCAAGCATGTTTTTCTCTTCTAAATTTTAGACTACAACAGGATTTCAATCATGTTCAAACCTGCACATTAAGGACAGACTTTGGCTTGTGTGTTTTGGGCCTTGTCGCACTCCCAGGTGTTTTCTGTCACTCTTTGTGACGTTCTATAATCTGTAACATTTTGAGGATCTTGTCTCTCAAGAGGTGCCTTTCATCTTGTGGTGACAGCAGGATGGTGGCAATGGATGCCCTGAACAATGAAATTCAGAACCTGAGGGATATCTTGCTGCTTCTAGTGCAACATCTCCTTTGACCCTTGTCTTGCAACAGGAAATCAGACAAGGATAACAAATATGATTGGTCTATAAATATTTTAAACTCATATTTTAAGACCCTCATAATATGGGATTAGACCCATCCACTGTGCAGTCTATTTGAGACTTATCAGAATAGTTTTGCAGCTTGAGGGAACATTTGAGGGGCCATTTTTTGAAATATTTTTGTTTACTTTTTTATCGAGAGTTCAATTTCTAATTTCTGTATAGTAAGTTCAGGATGCCACCTTGAGTGTGGAAATAAGGGACACCTTTCCAGCGGCCCCATGCCTGGGGGACACAAATCAATCCGGAGGTCTGGGGGTCCTACCTATCACATCTGTATTTGGACAGCCTCTTTCTTTTTACAGGCAGACTTGAGCAGGATGTATTCTCCAACATTAAAAAAAAAAAAGTGAATTTGAGTCTCCATAACCAGGTCAATAATGGTCTCATTCTCTTCCACAAATTCTGATGTAATACTATGTACTTACCACTATGTCTCACAATAAACTAAGTGTATGCATTAAAGAAAGGTGTGCACAAAAATACAGGACAAATTGCGTACTGTGTAGACTAAGTAAGGAACTGAATTAGATTTTTCAATATGGGACAATTACAACTTATATGGGACAGGTGGCAGCCCTACAGCAAATATGAAGCTGCAGCTTGTAAACTGATAGCTTAGCTTAATAAACCTGGGCGAAGTAAGTTCCTGCAGTCTCTGCTGGTTGTCTGCCAACCAGTGATTAAAAGACAAAGCTTCTGTGCCTAGCCAAGAAACAGCCTGGCACAACCTCTAACATAAAAACAACAAGTTGACACATTGACACTTTGGACATATGAAAGAACATAAAACCGGTTTCCAGTATGTATGCTAATCTAACCGGCTGATAGCTGATCAAAAGTATGGTATTTTCCCAGAATGCCAAACTATCCCTCTAACATGGATCATAGTCTTCTTTGGGTTCTGTGACATAGACCTAAGAGGGTCGGCCAGCTGTTCCTCAGCCAGCAGTCCATTTCCTCTGGAGAATTCTGCCCTTTGTCATGCCACTGACACCAGCCTCTTTGGAGAAAATGAAGTGCTTCATCTCTCCAAGATAATGTGGATGCATTAAGCAACTCTTGTATCCATGCCTAACGTAGGTGAACATGGGTTATGTGCCTGCTGTGGGGCGATGCATTGCACTCCAGTTTGCTCGAGTCTTCAGCACTGGCTCACAGATCACTTCCTCTGCGTAGCGTATGATGACATGGCTTTCTGAATGGCACATATTGGCAATTCCCTCTATGTATCGATGCTGCATGTAGGATTAGAAATGGTCACTCCAGCCAGACAAGAGTCTGACCTTGTTTAAGCAGAGACTCTCAAACTGAGCTTGTTGATACCATCAAACAGGCCTGTGTGGGGGCGGCCTGCCTTTCCTTCTGCTAGGGGCATCGCCACAGCAAAGAGAAGGCTATCACGGATTTTTCAACAGCATTCTGGGTGATGTCTGCTTTTTCTTGAGTGACTTAAGTTATCATTGTTCTGCAAAAAAGTTTCCAAATTCTTGTTGGATTTAAAATGTCAAAAGTTTGCTAAAGTGCAAACTCCGTTGTAAGCAATCTGCTTTGATAAATATTGCTCTTTCTAAACATCATCAACATGTCTGTAAAGACACTTGTTAACATGAGAGAATGGCCTTAACGGATCATATAGGGAATAGAAGTTGTCTAAATGCTGCAGGAAATGTCAGACGTCTCGTATATAAAATGCCACCGGCAAAAAAATGCAAGATTGTTTCAGATGTAGAGACTGAAGTCTCTCTGAGGTTGAGGCAATAGCCTGGGAGCAGGTGAGAACTGCAGTAAACTTTTATCTGAATGCAGAGCAGTTGCAAAAATGAAGAGTGTTATTTTACTTGATACAGGCCAATCAAATGGGACCAACAAATCATGTTGACAAGGTGTTAGTGAGATCATCAGCCATAGTTGTAACGGATTGCATTGAACGTAATGGATGTATTGTGGAGACATTGATATTATGGTTGCATGAATTGAAAGCCTTGTGCAGCTGGTGGGTTGTGAAATGTCAGACCTGTCCTCTGGCTTTTGTTGAAATATGGAAGGTGAGTTGGAGAGGGCTTGAATATGTACCAGGATAGCATTAGTGCATATGATTTAATAAAACGTGCCCTAAAAAACTAAATCTACTCTTGTCGGTCTTCGTTAGTGTGCGTGCTATGTAAAAATGTGCCCACTGCTCAGTGTAGCATGCTGTAAACTTATAGCATAGTCATGCATTTTAACATGTTAGAAGCACCACTTTAATTATTCCATTCCACCTCAGCAATGAAATGCTTTATTGTTTATATATTCTTGCAGTTTGATTAATCTCTCCATTATTTGCTTATAATCTCTCATTATTTCCTCCATCTGTCTTTAAGAAAATGTGAAACGTGTTCCTGGGGTTTACTCTCCAGTACGAGTCTACTGCAGTTGTCATTTTGTTTGCATATTTGAATTCACTGATTGCATGTAAGTTTTACCATTCTTTTTAAGATTTTACTGAAGCACTTCATGGTTTAGCTCCCAGTTATATTGCTGAATCGCTTCTCTGCAGCCTCAGATCCTCAGGCATGGCTCAAAAGTAAATGTGACCAGGCTTTTATAGTCAGGGCCCCTCAGCACTGGAACTCCTTGCCTGAGGATCTGAGGAATAACTTATTAAAACTTATCTTTTTAAAAAAGACACATTTTATTTATGTCTTATCTGTTTTATTTTATTATGATTATTATTATAATTTTCACATTATATTATTGTTGGGTATCTGATAGTGATCTGATATTGTCTGATTTTATTTGCCACAGTCCTGAAATGTTTTAATCCTTGTAAAGCATTTTCTAACATTGGTGGTTGTTGTTGTCATAGTTAGCATTCAGAAGAACTACAGCTCACAACATGAAAAATGTACAAGTGTGGTATGGTGCATGCTTATGTCGTTGTAACTTAATGACTTTAATATCCGTAATATCTGCATATGCTATCTTCTATTGTGTGTTTTCCCTCTTTCTAGCTCTATTCTCTGCTCTGTTAAAATAAGCCCCTTCTGTCCTGCTGGTATTACAGCAATGTCAGAACTACCTGCCCCACAGGCCTTTCTCACAGTAAAGCTTTTGTTTTGTTATAGTAAGAAAAACACAGGTGTCAACAACGACTTGGTTCTCTTCAAGTGTCCCAGTAAGCCATAACAGTGTGACAGTGAACCAGCATTAACAATAACAGGACCCTGAAGCAACTAAATGGAAATCAGCCATGAGTTCTATTATTTACATGAGTGCAGTTTTCCTACTGTAACCTGTCAAAATGTCCTCTGGATTTTTTCAGTGTTACAAATGTGATTTTGAATGATTGATTGATTTGAATGTTTTTACTTGCCTAAACCTGGGAGTTCCAGTTTTTACTCAGTTATCTGTACTTAAGCAAATGTGATGTTGGATCTTTAAATGAGTATCTCTCTCCTATCACTGAAATATTACTGCGAGTATGTCTGTACTTGTTACACCATGGGGATACCCTCGTCTTTGTGGATACATTTTCTACTTGTGTTGAGTTCAACGGGATAAATCCATTTTGATCACTGACACTGGCAGTCATGCGGGCACTCACACAACTAAGCTGCCTGCCTTGCTTTAATTTACATTTAGTATTTGGATAAGGAGGTGCTGCTGCTAACAAGTGCAAAAAAGCTTGTTTTGATATGCTGCTGCTTCATCTCACATTCCTTGATGTTTGTGTCTTAGATCAGTGCTGCTGACTGGGGACAAGCTGAAACTACATATAACCTCTATGAGGTTCTTTTCAAGGTCCACAAGGTATGTTAAGAGCAGGTTGCTGTTCAAAATTGTATCCCTACAGTTTTCATCTCAGTGTAGATGGCTGTTTTTCTCTTCTTTAGCAGATAGAATAGTGTTTTCAGGGAGCCCACAAAACGGGGTCATTCACGAACCAGGAAATGCACTCACGGAAGTTTTTCGTTTAACCTGAGAATTAAGGAATGTACTCTTCATTTCACCCACTGAATCCAGCGTTAAGAAAGTGAAGAGACAGCAAAAACTATTTCCCAACATGTACTAATTAAAATTTTGTGTTCCAGCTGTGGATGGCAGAGGACTGCTGGCTCCAGGCGAGGCTCTACTTGGGGCTCGAGCATTCGCCTGAGCAGCAAGACAATGAGTCTCTGTGCTTCAGCATTCTGGTGGGCCACGGCCAGAGCCACACCTTCAGGGTAGAGCTGGCCACTGACCTGGCTATCTGGGAGAAGTCCTTCCAAAGAGCTGTCTTCTTGGAAGTGCAGCGGATACGAGTGAGTATTTCCACATATAACGTTTTCTAACATTTCTGCTGAACACTACTTGGAATAAAGGAGACTCTTTCACAACACCTTTTCCAAACCTCAAAAGGTGACATGAAGCATTTAAAGTTTGTTGAAATTAAGCCCATGCGTGGTATTTAGAGCCAGAAGGGCAGATAAGTGGCACCAGCAGCCCTAATGACAGCTGCAGCTATGCATTATGTTGAATACAACATTCGTTTTTTCCCTTACTTACTGTTTTGAATTGCATTTAGTTGTGCAAGTGTTCCTGTTATTGTACAGCACTACACTCGTAGTGTCACTGAACAGCTACACCCATAGACATTAACTTAACTCATTAAATTTACATGATATCCATTCCTACATGTACGTACAATGAAACATTAGATACAACACAAGAAGACAGAAGAGCTCTGAGAAAAAAAGTAGTAGTTGCAATAATAATCAGAAGACTCTTCTAAAGATGCTTTTCCAATTATATTTTATAACTGCACTTTTTTCTTCAGTGAGTCAATTAGTTGTGTGTGTCAAGACAAAAGTAAATTTTGTTTGTACAAAACGTATGGGGTCTTATTATGACGCTTCTGAAAAGTTATTACAGTAATCTGCTTTTAACATCAAGCAAGGAAATCCTTTCATCAATGGCAACATTTGATTTTAAAAACCATGTGAGTTGGTTTTGTACTGAAAGAAGAATTTGTTCCTAATACAATTTTATGATTCGACTAATTCAAAACTAATTATTATTGCATACCGTATAGCTGCATAAAGTCTGAAGTTTTCTTGTTAAGTCTTAAGGGCAACACATGTCGGCATGTGTTCACTCGCACGGTTAAGTTGTGGCTCATCTCAGCACTTATCAAATCAAATAGACTCGGCTATGAAAACTGACAAAACAAACTTTTATCTCCTGACCAAGGTGGCTAAGTTTAACAGGCTGGCTTTGTAATGTTTCTTTGCAAATATATCACAAATGAATCACAAATCAAATCACAAATTGCTGCAATTTCATCTCTGCTAGTGTTAGCTAGGTATAGACTGGAGGAAAAATACTTTAACTAATTGTTAGCTCAAGGCTACCGGAAGCTACTAGCAACTTTTAAGGTGGAATGTTATGTGATTATGCCAGCTACAAATATTCTATTTCCTAACATGGGGGGGGAGTGGCAAGGTGTTGTTCTGGAGAGCTCCGGCGGCACTACACGGATTGTGGCGTATCACATTAATACTCAGAGTTGTTTATTTTTGGTCTGCTCACCAGCTGCAAATTGACATGAGTCACTGTGTGAACTCCACAAACAAATGTGTAACTTCATCACATTCGCTGCTTAAATTGACACATCGTGGCTACTGTACCAGGGCTGCCCCATACCCGCACACACGCGCGCACACACACACACACACACACACACACACACACACACACACACACACACACACACACACGCCTGGACTGGTGCAGAAACACCTGCAGGTCGTGCGTGTGCTCTGGATGGTTATTTTATAGTAAAATATTTAAGAGGAACATTTGACAACCGATTTTTCAACCATTAAACATTTGAACATTCTGTTTTTTTGGAGATTTTTCTAGCTTACTTTTGGATTTAATGCTGATGCAAGGCAGATGTATAGAGAGTGTGTCGGTGAGTGTGTGATGCTGGCTAACCAGTGCCTGGTGCGAGCTGCACTTCATATTTAAAGTGGCCTCACTCAGTAGTAAACCCTGATACACTGTAGGCTACTACTACTATCGTGGATGAGGGCCAAATACTAAAACATGATGGATCGCCTGATAAAGCAGCAGAATCATATTTATGTTGCACTGAACGCGTCTTGGATGGTCTACCAGAGCATTTCTGTAGTTGTGTGTGTGTGTGTGTGTGTGTGTGTGTGTGTGTGTGTGTGTGTGTGTGTGTGTGTGTGTGTGTGTGTGTGTGTGTGTGTGTGTGTGTGTGTGTGTGTGTGTGTGTGTGTGTGTGTGTGTGTGTGTGTGTGTGTGTGAAAAAAAGGCAGATCTTTCTGATATTAAGACAGAGATGCAGACTGTTAGTTTCAGGCTCTTATCACCTGCTGTGTGTTTTTCTGAGTACAGATATGTATTCAGGAAAAAAATAAATAAAAACCTTGTAAAAACTGTTCTCGACTCTGTAACTTGACTTCATCTGCAATCTGTATGACGTGCCCAATTTGTGTTATGGCCGTCAATTGATGCAAGGCTCTGTGATGCCACCGATGTGTCCCCCTTAGCCTTATATGTTCCATAAACCTATTATGTCACAATAAGTTGACCAAATCTATCAGAAAACAGTTATCAATAGCAACATAATTTGAGTAAAAGTACTAATTATTTAAATGTCTGTCGGACTCTTTGGTCTACAACAGAAATCCTCTACAGTATGTTGCAAAATGGTTAACATTCTAAACTGTTTATATGATTGAAAACATTAAATGACCATATAAAACGAGACAATTTCCCAAAGGTGACTTATGTAGCATATGTAAAAAAATATATATATATGTATACATTTTTTAATCAGTCCTGTCCCCAGCAATTTAATGCTTCATCAGTGAGAAGTGATTGCACGTGAGGAAGTGTCTTTTCTGTCGACACATTATAGGTTCTGTGCTGTTTTAAATTTTTCTTATTAGGAAATTAATTGAATTTAAAATTGAAAGCTAGGCAGCGCTCTGTTTTCCATAAATGTTATTGTTACTTACTTTATGTATTTAGCTCAAGAAACCTAAAGTATTAGTCCTCACATCAATGAGCCATTAAATTGCCTCTTAAGCGAATATGTTTAAAGTGGGAAGGCGATCAACTCTTCTGTAGAATGCATTGTTCACAAATTCTCAGAGGCAGCTGTCTCATGTCTGTCAAGAGGCTCAAACGTGAACACTCATTGGATAAATTTAAGAAAGACCTTGTTTTTCAAGGTTTTGCCGTCTTCTTTGTTCAATTGTGTTTACATTTTCATGACTTACTTCACTATGCTTCCATTTACTGTCCAGTATTCCCTACAGCGCCAGTTGAGTTCAATAAGCCCGTGTCTACCTTATGATTGTGTAATGTGTCATTATTTATTTTTATTGTCATGAGTCAGCTCCCTTAAATACGCTGATGCTACATTCAGTGCACACTATTTCTGTGAATACAGCTGGGAAATACCTCCTAGCAATAGGAACAAGTAGAATATAGTCTCCATTATGACTTACCAGGCATTATTAATTCAGGGGGTACAATATGTTAACACACAGCAGGGAATCCAGCATTCATAGCCTGAAGTATTAAATATTAAATTGCACTAATGCAATCAATTGTGCCTAAGATTAGCAAAAAATATCTGCTGGAGCTTGTTTATGGTTAATTTTGACATTCATAGATGTTTTGATGATTTCTTTATTTTCTCTTGGAAAAAGAAAATGAATGGGTGGCTCAGACACACCCAAACTTTCATCCAGGAGACTGCTGTTTGTGTGTGGTGTATCTTAACTTACATAGGACCAACATGCAACCATTTCACAATTTTATGCCTGTCGCTGGCACACTCCAACGGTCAACAGTCGACCTGTTCAGACGTTTAGATATGAGGACATATCGAATAATTCACGCATGTGAAGAACTCTTTGGAGCTGAAGATGTGAATGTCAGTATGTTTGTCAGATTATTCCAGCTGAACACAGCAGCACGTTGTCAGCCAGTAAAGTAAAAAAGGATTATGGTTAATAAAAACATATTTAAGTAAGTCTAAGTCCTGTATGTGACAACAGTTCTCTGAAAATATTGAAACTGCAGTCATTATAGTAAAAAGACAATGTTCTGAACACAACCAATTATTAAGCCACATACAAGCACACGTTTTTTTTATTCTTTTAATTAACCTTCAACACTATAGAGTCATCATATTAGTAGCCATCTAATTGCCAGGTCGGCTGAGATGGGGCCCAGGCTGTAGCACCACCTCGTAACATGGTTATTTAGATGGCTGCTGAGTGCCATGTCAATTCTAAATGACAAAAATAAACACATCTGTAAATAAAGGAGGGAAGGGTGGCTATAATAGAGAATATACAGGTTCTGAAATTTGAAAGAAAATATGTTGAAGATTAACATTCCACAACAGAACTACAAGTCTTCACATTTTTATTTCTCTCCTGCTTCCCATTTTCCTCATCTCTGCCTGTCAGACATTTTACATTTTCTGCACTATTGAATGAAGGTTAAATGATAAAGCAATGAATTATTTAAATCCAATAGTGAACAGCACCAACATGTATTCTGGTATACACCCTACAGTCCATCCAGACTTTCCTGCCAGAGCTGTTATGAACTGCACTGAACCAGAAAATATTAAAGCATATATTATAGAAAAAATATTTCACCGAAGCAGTCAAGAAAACATTTCTCGCACCAAAGAACATATAGAACATTTATAACAAGGCCAGTTGTTATTTTTCCAGAGAAAAAACGCTTTACTTTAATATGAAGTTGGTCGCACTGAATGCAGAGCTGATTTATTTGGACAATATTGCTGTACAGTGACACAGAATTGTCAGATATCAGTCACAAGTATTTACAACAAACTCCAAGTCTGACTTCAAGTCAGACCTTTACCAGCAGATTCTTTGCTATTTCTTTCTCCATCTGTGCAGCATTAAACTGAGAACTCTTGTTCTTCTTAGAGCTTTTAAAGCTTCCACATGCCATGATCATGCATTGTATTCAGGAATTGAGAAAGTATGCCACATGTCAGCTTAGACTCTTCATGAAATGGCCAGCGGTGCCTTTTATAATTTTACCCTATTCCCACCCTTTCACCCCTCAAGTGCGGCCAACCAAAGATAAAGGCTAAAAATGCAATGAAGCCTGAGGGCTTTGGTGCTCGGGACCCTTAAGTAGGGACATTTATAAATATTACAAAGCAGAACACCTGTCAGAAGATATTTGAATCACTAGCAGACTGAAATCCTTTCCGGGTCAACATGGGAACCAG